GCTGCGCTGCCCAAGGGAGATGAGAGAATGTTCTTTTTCTTGGCTGGGTCCCGGGGGGGGGAAGGAGAAACGACCCGAAAATGAAGCTGCGCACAGGACCTCACTAACTCTAAATCCGCCACTGCTCCCAGCTAGGCAAAAAGTAGTCAGGAAGCTCTGTGGCACATGGACAGTGCTGGCCAACTCTAGAGGAACAGGCATGGTCGACTATCAAGCACACAGTGTGGGACAGCTGCATATAGGCCTGAACATGCTGATCATGGAGCTTTGGTTTGGCTGGAGAGAGACTAAGCTCAAGCCACTTTAAAAACCAGACACAATGATTTAAGCCAACTCTCCCTGGCATCGTCTCTGCACAGATGGGCTATAGGCTGGGGCGAGCGATTTGTGAAAGCCGCTATAGTCTGATACGGAGATGAGAATCAGGCCATGGGTCATTAGCTAGACTCATGGCCTAAATTCTGGCCTGCAATCAGAGCTGAGGCCAAGCCCATGCTGCCTTAAACCATTTCTAAACCCATTTGTAATGCACTTTGCCACATGCTCAGCTCTCCTCCCACAGCTTATACAGTGGAAGTGGCCAAAGGCACAAACAGACTGAGGGGAATGGCCCAAGTGATCAGGCTGAGAGGGGGAGGCAGCACAATTTAGCCCAGAAGCTCCCTTGTTGGGTCAGCCCCTGCTCCCCAGCCCATCTCAATGCACACCACATGCCGCTGTCACATCTGCTGCAGAACCAGCCTAGAGCTAGTATGCAGCATGTCAGGCAGTGCCAAAGATGTGCCCCTTAGAAGTGTGTGTATATGGGAAGAATTGCAAAGATTTGCTATTTCGATTTGATTCCAAGTGACAGACAATAAGAACAGTGGTTGCAGCGATGCTGTAGCTGTGCTGGCCCCAGGATAGTAGAGAGACAAGGTGGGGAAGGAAGAGCTCTGTGTGGCTCAAAAATTTGTCTCACCAACAGAAGCAGGTCCAGTAAAAGATATTACCTCCCCCACCTCGTCTCTCTAAGATTATTGCACAGTGCAGCCTCTTATAAAACACAGCTCCATGCCCCACCGTTTGGCTGCTCCATACTCCAGAGAGGCCCCTACAGTCAGCGCAGAGGGTGGGTACTAGCCACTGGGCTGCATATCAAGCTGAATGATTGGCATTTTGTTTAACAAATCACAATGAAAAATCCCATTCTTTGCAAGACAGTAAGAGCTAGTGGGTAGCTGGGGATGTGTGTACCGCCTCCTGCACAGCCTCTTCTCACTCCTGAATGCTGATGAAGACACCTGCAAAAGAGCTTGTCTACAGAGGGACGCTGACCAGCCTAACGCTAGCACAATTACTTCACTATAGCTAAGTCAGTCAATATCCCTGTGTAGACAAACCCTAAGACCTGACCCTGCAACCACTCTCCAATGGAGAGGTCTGGTGAAGTCAATAGACTACTGACATGTGAAGGACCAGGCCAATGGGGGGAAGGGGGTCTGGGTTCAATGACAAATGTCTAGAGAGCCCCATAGTCTTTCCATTCTATGCTGCTCTGTGTAGAATGTGGCTGAACTCAGTGATGCTCTACTGGCCTTAGGGGGCCATGGCAGCCAAGTGCAGGGCAGAGCAGCCCTGAGGTGGCTCTAACTTATTCTGAGGGCCATGCAGGTCCCTGACCAGCCTGGCTTAGAGGAGGCTCAACTGGTGGCCTAAAAGCTACTTTTGCACCCTCGCCCCATTCCTAGGTGCAAGCTGAGCATGAGTGGAAGAAAATCACACCCCATGTGTTAGCATTTCCCACCACCTCTTCCTGCTTTTCCACCTCTCTCCAGCAATTCCCTTCTCCGTGCAGGTGATGGAGATACTGCTCCAGTACAGGAGTTAGGGACGCTAGAGGGACAACTGCAGTGTACCAAGCCCTCCCCCACAGCCACAGCAGCGGGAGCCCTGCTCACACCTGGCTCAACATGCAACCGGCGACCCGACCAAACTAGTGCCGACAGATCCAATCACTGATTTATTCACCAAACACGGTGTGCATTAATTTTGGTCTCACGTGTAAGAGAAAACAGAAGTACAAACAAAGCCACGCAACCGAGCATGTTGGTGTGGCAAACTCACCCCCCTCCTTGCTGCTTTGAGAACCGAACCAGGAAGGTTTGGAGACATCAAAGCACAGCGAATTCAGTGCTCCACTGGCACAGAGATTAACTCTGCAGGCCATTTGCATGGCCCAGTCTCTTTGGCATTGGGCAGCGGAGCAGAGGGGAGATCCTGGCTCCAAGGATGGAGTCACAGCAGGTATTGCACTTCGGGGTTTGTGGTCAAGATCTAAAAATAAAATACAGCTTTTTCCCCTTTACCAGCAAAGAGAAAGGTAGTTTCCCCAGCTCACCATAGCCCCCATCACAGGGGCACGGTCTTTGTCTAAGAACTAAGGCTGCCCCAAATCACTATACAGCATTGGAAATCGTGTCACTTGGACAGTGCACCCTGAGTCACGCGAACACTACCTGAGAGAGCTCCCAGGGGCAGCAGCAGCACCAGGTCAGAGCAGCCAGTGGCCAAGACATCTCCATGAGCTAGAGCAGTGTATGTGAGGAGCCAATGCACGCCACAGTTGGTCTCCTGCAGCAGCCCCTGTTACCGGAGCTCTCATTTCCAGCTCCCGGGGGCTGGAGCAGGAACACAGGCTAAAGATGACCCATTTCCACATACAGATAATGGCATCAAAAGCACCCGGCAGCTAAGCGGGAAGTGTCCGAGGCCTGCAGCGTTTAAGGTTGCAGGCTGGTGTGTGTGTGTGTGTGTCTGTCTGTCTGTCTTTTACTCAGCTCCCTGGAGAGCCTGTCATAACTATAAAGGAAAGGGCAACAGCCCTCCTGTGTACAATACTATAAAATCCCTCCTGGCCAGAGACTACAAAATCCTTTTACCTGTAAAGGGTTAAGAAGCTCAGGTAACCTGGCTGACACCTGACCCAAAGGACCAATAAGGGGACAAGATACTTTCAAATCTTGGTGGGGGGAAGGCTTTTGTTGGTGCTCTTTGTTTTGGTGGGAGTTTGCTCTTGGGACTAAGAGGGACCAGACATCAATCCAGGCTCTCCAAATCTTTCTGAACAAGTCTCTCATATTTCAAACTTGTAAGTACAGCCAGGCAAGGCGTGTTAGTTTTATCTTTGTTTTCTCAACTTGTAAATGTACCTTTTGCTAGGGTGTTTACCTCGGTTTGCTCTAACTTTGAACCTAAGGCTAGAGGGGGGTCCTCTGGGCTCTTTAAGTTTGATTACCCTGTAAAGTTATTTTCCATCCTGATTTTACAGAGATGATTTTTACCTTTTTCTTTAATTAAAAGCCTTCTTTTTAAGAACCTGATTGATTTTCCCTGTTTTTTAGATCCAAGGGGGTTGGATCTTGATCCACCAGGAGTTGGTGGGAGAGAGGAGGGGGGATGGTTAATTTCTCCTTGTTTTAAGATCCAAGGGGTTTGGATCTGTATTCACCAGGGAATTGGTGAAGAGTCTCTCAAGGCTACCCAGGGAAGGGAATTAGCACATTGGGAGTGGTGGCAGCGGACCAGATCTAAGCTGGTAGTCAAGCTTAGAAGTTTTCATGCAGGCCCCCACATCTGTACCCTAAAGTTCAGAGTGGGGAAGGAGCCTTGACAGAGCCCCATTCACCATCTCATTCTTGTGCTGTCAACCCACAGCGCCTCGCCTGCCTGCCTGGGGAAAGGCCTCTGCAGCTTCCCCTTGTGCCCCACACACACCCTCCTCCTGGTTACCCTGCAAGAGCCCATGGCACTAGTGTCTAAGAGTCCAACCCCAACGCCCAGCGTTCTCATGCTGTGGGGCCAATGCGGGGGCTAAGGACTGCATGGAAACATTTCTCAACTGTATGGGTTCTTCGAGGGAAGGAAGGAGAGGAAGCTTCAGTCCACTAAATGAAGGGATGAGCAGCCCGGCAGGGGACCTCCCAGTGGGAGGAGATGGCAAAGGAGGTTGGAGAAGCACAAGGAAAACGCAACGCCTAGTGCCTGGTTGCCCGTGGCCCAGAGGAGAGCAGGACTCAGCTGCCTGGCAGCATGTTTGACCTCTCAGGCCCACGGATGCCACGAGAAAGGGTGCCTCACAAAATCCTCAAGAGATGGAAGCCAGGGTTTCCAAACATGCCCAGCCTGGGCCACCTTGGGCCGAGCTTTCTTCCGACCCTTCCCATGCAGCAGCTTCAAAGGCCCATCCCATGGAGAAAACAGGAGGCCCCTCCTGCTCCCCCAGAGTGCAGGGAGAAGACGGCAGCCCTGCCCGCTGCCTTGGGGACAAGCAGCCTCCATGCAGGAAGGGCAGGAATCTAGAAATGGCTGGCAGGAAGCCCATTCTTGGGGGCAGAGGTGCCACGCTCAAATCTGAAGGAGAGAGGCTTGGAAACAAGAACAGGAGCCAGGGGCTGAGGGAGGGTGGGGAGCCAGCTAATGGGTTCCCAGGGGAGAGGATCCCCCATGGAACAGGCTCCTGGTCTTAGACGCCTGCCTTCACACAGGGGCAGACCTGAGGGGAGGGATGTGGTGCTCATGGTCAGGTGTTACCCTGGGGGCGGGTTTTATAGCACCAATTGCAGGGCCAAGCCCTGCATGCAGCACAGAGCACATAGCTCACACACAAGTGCTTGGGGATAGTATAAACTCACATCAGGCAAGAGCTGCACACACCCTCCTCTCACGTGGCTCCTGGCTCCCTCATCCTAAGGGGCCAGTGCTGCACCAGCAGGAGCTGCTGCCTGCGGCAGAAGCTTCTGGGAGCACGCTGACTCGGCAGAAGCAAGGCCTTTGAAATGTGCTACCCTGGGGGATTAATGTGGGCATTCATGGACTGTGGAAAGGATCAGGGCCAGCTGCCAAGTCAGCGCCGACGGGGGGTCTGCACCCATAACCAAACAGAGGAGCACAGTTAGGACACTCAAGTGATCCCATAGCTCCTGCCTCCTCGGAAGCCGCTAACAGCTGAACCGCTGCAGGGGAGCTCTCCACAGGCTAGAGCTGCAGAGCCCGCTATGTTCAATCTCCCAGATCCTACGAGGGCTGCAGCTTGGGGCTGTTTGATCCTGTCTCAAAGGGGAGGCCCAGCCCACTGAACTGCAGGACTCTCCCATTTCCAAAGCCCTGGATCTCACCCCACCAGCCACCACTGTGCTGGCCTTTGCTCTGTGTGTCACACGTTTGCTGGGTCAGCCCGCGGGCAGAGACCAAACGGAGGGAACAAGTTACGAGGGGTTGTGGTGGGGAGGGGCATAAGGGAATCTGACTGCTACAGACAAGGGTTGGCTCTGTAAAAATATCAGGCAGCATTAAGTGAAACTGAGGCAGTCTCTCCATGGGCAGCTAGAGGCCAATTAGTCCCGATGCTTCAGCTCTTAACACTCTAACCCTTGGGCAGGGAAAGCAAACCGTCTGTGACAGGAACCCGGAGATCAGCCCAGCCGAGGCCGCCTGCCCACTTGACTCCTCGTCCTCTGCAGTCCCCAGCTGGCGGACCCCCTTCTCCAGGCGCCCGCCTGCCTCCTCGGCGCTCTCAGCAGAGGAGCCGTGCTGGCGGACCAGCCTTGCGCTCGTTCTCCCAGGCACTCAGCTTCCGGGTGGAACCATCACCCGACGTCAGAATTCCTGCAAGGGAGAAGGAGCCACTCAGAGTTCAAGAACCCCCACAGTTCACTGGAAAATTAACCCTTTGCTGGAGGCATCAGGAACGTCACTGTGAACAGCAGCTCGCTGTAGTTCCCATCAGCAACTCTCTAATCAAGGGGCCTACGTGGAAAAGCTGCCACTGATAGCAACCCCTGGGAGTTTGGCAGGGCAGGACAGAGGTGTGTAGTTAGAGCTATGTGGGGAGGGAACTGGAAGGAGCTGCATGGCTACAGTGCCTCTAGCCAGCTCCTGCTTTAATGGGCATTGACATGGGTCAGTATTTCCCAGCCCCTCCCCACTCACCATCCTGCTTCATTAGGGCTCTGGCCAGCTCTGCTTGCCTCGCTCCGAGGCCTGTAGCCGTGCGAGGTTCTGAGTCACAGAATGCAGGGCATTCCCTAAGGGCATAAGCAAAACCCATTAGCTATCAGCCCAGGGCACCACAAGACAAGGGGCAGGGGAAAGGCTCAGCCAGTAGGGTTGCTGCATTCCTGTCTCTCTCTCCCCTGCACCCTGCCGCACTCTGAACCACTGCATTGCTGGCTTCCTGCCACTGGGTCCAGCTTCCACTAGTCGGGAGAATGGGGCACGAACGCTGGAGGCACACAAAGGCAGCTCCTTGGCCACAGAGCTGGAGCAAGGCCAGTGCAAGAGGCCAGCACACCTCACCATGGGCAGATACGCACGGGATGGAGTACGGAGAGAACAAGGGCTCCCCAGGCTCTGCTCCAGCCGGTTTCTATTGCAGCACAGAGAAAGGCTGCTCCTGTCCTTCATTCTAATGAAGAAGGAGCCACCCTGAGGTTCACAGGAGGGAGGATTTGTACTGCAGAGCAGCTGGAGAAGAGAGTAATTACTCTTGCTGCCAACAGGTGTCAGTGTGGCTCACTAGTACAGCTGGGTCAGATGGCCGTGGGTTCAAGCCCCCACACAAGGATCCAGGGCTGATCTGGCTCTAGTGGGAGAGCCATAGTAAGACATGTTATGTTTTGCATGGAGCAGGTATCTTTTGCCCACTCTCCAGTTACCACCTGTCTTAGAAACCAAGTGTCCTTTGGTTTATTTCAGAGGGAGTTGGGGATAATCCTAGTGACTTGGCCCCCCAAGACCCTCTCCACCGTACCCATATCTCCCACATGCTCCTCCAGGAAAGCTGACAGCTCAGGCAGGCTCAGGGACTTCAAGGAAACTGACCCTCCTTCTAGACCTGGGAGATTAAAAGCAGAGAGATTCTCACCAACCATTGCAGCTTCTCCATGGCAGGAGCAGAGAAGCGAGGGCTTGGGGCTCAGTCCCCCGCACAGCCTTCATGCCCACAGCAGCTTGAATTGATTGGTTTTGATTTACTGAGATCTTGTATAAAATGAGTGCTTACAATGCAAATGTGTGACAAGCAGCAAGTTCCCTCTGTTCGCTAATGCCGCAAAAGAGGGCTTGTGCTTGCGTGGCACAGTTGGCTATTTATAAAGCAACCTGGCTTAATATTTGTGACCTCGTCACCCTAGAGATGCTCAATAGGTCAAATACGAGGAGAATCTCAAGGAAACGGAGCTAGACTTGCTGGATGGTAATTGCCAGGATTTTCTGTTTTGAAGACAAGAAATGAAGATGGACTTCTCATTTCTGCAACCTCCCCAGTGTGCTTCATAAACAGCTGTCAGTGGAGCAGTCGGATCAGTAGCAAAATTGCCTGTGACACGTCAAATTCAATGGAATTAGATGCTTTTGAAAACTTTACTCTAAATCTCTCTCATTAACGACAGTTTTTAAAGGATCTGTTTGGTAGCTCAGCCATTTCAGACGCCTCATTAGTTTCACCCTCTTCATCTATTAAAGCATCTGCTTTTTCTCTGGTGCCTCTCATACCCCTTTGGCTGCATTCATTCAATCTGATTGTTTGCTGCCTTATCTTTTCCCTGCAGCCTGGGCCATTCATAGTCACAGCAGCACCTGGCTCTTACCTTCTCCCTCGGGCCATCTGTCCTCACCAGCTCCCAGCCGTGCCTTGGTCTCCAGCATCCTGCCAGTCAGGTGCCCTTGCTTCAGCCGGGAACATAGCTCCGCCTGACAGGCTCTACCAAATGAGACCAAACGCCCATTAGCAAGGCACGTGTACTTCTGGGAAATCACCTGCCAGTGCCCTCCTGTGTCCAGAAATACCTGCCTGGGCAGCCAAGGGATCACATGCTTCTTGGGGCTAGCAGCTCACGGGATTATAAACTGCCCTTCCCAGGCATAGGCAGATGTGCCTGAGACAAGAGCCCAGAGTGCCTTCCACAGCAATCCCTGCCCTGTGCACAGAACAGCTGCTGGGGTCAGTGAAAAAGGAGGAGGCAGGGAAAGGTCCAGGCCTGGGTTTCACACAAATGCCCCTCAGGCTGGATCTGGTCCACCTGACATTCAAGCCTGGTCCACACCCAAAGTTACACACTTGTAATTTAGAAATGCAAGCTAAACCAATGCACTTCAAGGTTTAAACCGAAGCAAGAGGGTCCACACACAAAGCTGCACCAGTTTAACATCACACCTTTAGTTAAACCAGTGCAGCTTCAGTGTACAGACAAGCCCGGACTCTGTGAACAACCTCAACTCTCATTTAAAAAGAGAGAATTTAAGTGTCTTGCCTTGAGATTGTGAAGGAAACCTTCCACATGTGAACTGCTGCTTTCCTGAGTCTGCAGTCAGCTTCTGTGTGGCTCAAAAACTTCTCTCCCCCACAACAGAACTTGGTCCAATAAAAGATATGACCTCCTCCACCTTGTCTCTAATATCCTGGGACCAACATGGCTACAACTACACTGCGGACAATGAAGTTCCTAATAAGTTAGCAATAACTAAATTGTAAGTCACCATACACAGGTCAGATTTTACTCTGGATCTCTGGGCAATCCTGCCATTGCCACCAACACCAGTTCTGCCGTGGATGGAGGGGCACACAGAGTCCTATATTCTGACCCATATGCCACAATGAAAAGTGCAATTGTATCCCTGCATCAAATTAGTCTGAAATCCCTCCTCTAGGCAGACTGCAGCTCCATGCTTCATTAATGGGACAAATCCCAGATCCCTCCACCCACCTTCAAAGAAGCAGAGCCAGCACAGTAATGGCACAGCATGCAAACAGCTGAAGCATGTCACACATACACATGGTTTTAATAAAGAGACATGGACTGTCAGGGCAAATATAGCCCCAAACACAGGCTGTCAGAGCCACAAGTCTACAAAACCTTTGGCCAATGGAACTGCCTCCGGGATAGCAACACACATTTTTAGGAAGATTGACCAGAACGGGCAGCATTGTGGGAGCAAGTGAGAATCAGGAGTGAAGTTCACTAGATGCTGATTTGTTTACAGAGGCGAAATCGACTAGTCTCTTTTCACTGTCCACCCTAAATGCAAAGTGTAAAACAAAGTGGCACGAAGTGGGGGAGGGAGTAAAGAATTCTCCCCACATTAATAACCTAACCTGTTATTCAGTAATACAGATAACACCACATGTTTTGAAAATGATTTTTAAGTCGACAATGTCCTTTTTAATCCATAAAAATCGTGCCTGCTTTAAGAAAGGGCTGACTTCTCAGCCAGTAAGTGGTATACAAGGATCTTAGAAAATGATTTACCGTTACAGGTAAAAGTGAAATAGCCACTTAATAGGTAAAACCTCTGATGTCGCACTCCATGTGTTTTATGGAAATATGCTAATGAGTGTGAATATAATGTAACTGGAATATGCTTCATGCAAAAGGTCTCTTGTAAGGTATCATTACAAAGCTTATAATCTACTGAATGTGTTCATCCTATTTGTATGTATGTATCATTCTTGTATCTGAAGGTAGAAATATGAAGTATTACTCTAAAGTCCTATTGTAACTATGCGAAGTGTGGGCCATTAATAATGGCTTGGAATCTTGATGGTTCCCATTAATCAGGACAATTGGTTGTAAATGGCTCTGTTTACTTGTAAGCCTTCCTGAGTTTGTGTAAGTCAGGCCAGGAAGAATGGAGGCTTGGGGTCCCACAGGACATGTGACCATGTCACCTGTTACTGGAATCCATCTTAAACCTGGTGCTTTTCCATTTAAAGGAGGGGTGGGGACCCAGAGAGACAAAAGATTCCTGCCTTGTGCCAAAGCCATAAAAGGGGGTGGAACAGGACAAAGGGGGCTGTAGTCATGAGAAATCCTCTAGTTACCACCGGAGCTGGAACTAACAAGAACTGTACCAGGGAAAAGGACTGGGCCCAGACTAGGAAGGAGTCTAGTCAGTGAAAGAAGCTTATTGGAACATCTCTGAGGGTGAGATTTACCTGTATTCAGTTTCTTAATGTATTAGGCTTAGACATGCGTGTTTTGTTTGATTTTACTTGGTAACTTACTTTGTTCTGTCTGTTATTACTTGGAACCACTTAAATCCTACTTTTTATACTTAATAAAATCCCTTTTGTTTATTAACAAACCCAGATTAAGTGATTAATACCTGTGGGAGCAAACAGCTGTGCATATCTATCAGTGTTATAGAGGGCGGACAATTTATGAGTTTACCCTGTATAAGCTTTATACAGAGTAAAACTGATTTTATTTGGGGTTTGGATCCTATTAGGAACTGGGTGTCTGGGTGCTGGAGATAGGTAACCTGCTGAGTGGTTTTCAGTTAAAGCCTGCAGCTCTGGGGGCGTGGTTCAGACCTGGGTCCGTGTTGCAGCATCTAGTGTGTCTGGCTCAACAAGGCAGGGTTCTGGAGTCCCAAACTGGCAGTGGAAAATGGGCTCAGAGGTAATTTCAGCACATCAGGTGACAGTCCCAAGGGGGGTCTCTGTGACTGAACCCGTCACACCCTCCATCACGTTCGTTAGGCAATACATGCTGCTCTGGCGTGTGTGGATGGCCCTCTACTATGACTACTGCCTCTGCACAGCTGAGCTCTGCAGGCACGCCCCTTCCCCCCTTATTTACTGTATGTGCTACATACATGTGAGCACTGTGGCCAACTGCTGGAGAAGTCACTGAACTCCAGCTGCCGCATGCAGAGGTAACACAAGTGCCGTCTGGGAACACTATGCTGTTATCTCAAACCAGCCTCCTTTCTCATCTTTCCAGGGGGACCCCTCTGGGACTCCCTCTCTTCATTAAGTCCTCAAAGGCCTACAGCAGGTGTTCTCTCCCCTCTGGCTATGGCAGGCTGGACACAGGTCCCTTGGGAGCTCAGTGATGCTGCATCTCCTTTCTCCAGGGGCAAGAGCGTTGCTTCCACCCCTGGAGTGAAGGACATAGATTTTCTGGTTTTAATCTATTGGCCAACACAGCAGGACCGATGAGCTGAAAGTATCAGCTTAACCCCCAGAGCAGAAACACCACTGAACATGGGATTTTTCAGAAGAACAGAAAAAACAGAGTTGTCCTGATGGCTAGAGTATCTAGGACAGGTCAATACAGAGTGAAGTGTGAACCTCGTCGCCCCCCCGCCCCGTGCATCTCACTGGGCAATGCTGTATGATTTAGAGGCTGTGAATTTCATCCTGACCACAGCTGGTGATCAGTGTGAGGCCTGACTGCCCTTGCAGTGAAGAAGCACTACACTACAGGTTTTAGTGGTGGGAGGGCTCCTGAGCTTTCTTCCCAACTCTGCCACTGACTCCCTAAGTCACCGGGCAAGTAACTTAGCACCTGGTTCCCCCTGGGGTTGAACATTCAGAACTCTAGCTCTGGAAAGCCAGGCCCCTACCCACTGTGCATCTGGAAGGGGCTTCAGTATCTCCTTATCCTGTTGGAATGTCCTCATTTGGGGGAGGATTAGAATGGGGTTCAGATGCTGTGGTGTGACTGTGTGTGGACAGCTCACTAGAAGGGCACCGCCTGCATCCAGACAACGGACACGCTGCGGCGGCCCTGTTTTCCGCTTCCCCTGGAGCAACTTACTTCATTTGCTCTAGCAGGACCCCAGCGTCCCTAGTGATAGCCTGGGCCTCCCGCAGCTGGATCTGGACATCATTCCAAGCCACGTCCCGCTCCATCAAGCAGCTTTCGACCACTGCCCGCAGCTCCTGCTCTTGGGACACCTGGCCCTTCATCACTTCCACTTCCTCGCACCTCTGCAGTGGGGGAGAGCGAGAGAGGAGGGACTGAAAGGGGGAGTGCTGCATGCTGTAATCTCAGGCACTTGACTGCTCACGAAACATCCCTGGAGCCTCCTGTTATCACGATCTGGGCGGTTGCAGAGGGCTCTGTATGCACTCACCAAACCCATCCGAGGCCCAGATGCAGGTGGGAAGGAAGTTAGATAAGGTTCCCACACAGGGTCAGCTCTGATCTCAGGGATTCCCCTTCTTTCTATGCAGGAGAGTGGGTTTGCCAAGCTGACAGACATTTCTGCATGGATTTCCTCATTTCAGTATGAGCAGATCCTAACCAGGACGGCAGATATCCCCAGCCCAGCATCCCGGCCAGCTGGGTTTGAACTAAAGACACAGAAGCCTTGTCAGCATGAGAGAGCGAGGGTTAGAGTGTGGCAGAACCTGCAACATGGGGTTACCTAACTTACCTTACCCCTTTGCATCCCTTCCAAACTACCTCAGCTCCCTCCCTTAAGAACCTTTCCCCACCCCCAGGAGGTGCCATAGTAAATACGTGATTGGGTTAGAGCCAGGCTCGTTACCTTGTGCAGCTGAATGGCCATCTCCTGCATTTCCGCCTCCAGCCGATCTGCATAGGCCAGCTCTAGGGCATCGCTGGGAGGCCTGGCATTGCTGTGCCATCGAGCAATGGCAGAAGTCATCTTTCGCTTAGGCCCGAACAGGCTGGTGATACAGCAGCAAGCAGTTAGCAGCAAAACTGCACCAGGACCTTGCTTCAGAGACTCCTGCCCCTTCTTCCACTGAGGCCCATGAAAACCCCAGGCATGAGCAGGAAGGATAATTAGGGACAGCAGAAAACCACGATCCATCTCCTCCAAGGCTCTGCTAACAGCTGCAGGAGAGTTGCAGGCAGGGACTGAATGGGGGGGGGGAGGGGAGGGGCATGGCTGGAAGACCAGTGCTTGCTGTAGACCAGGATTAAGGCACATTGAGAGATCTGTGAGGGATCCCCAGGCTGGAGGGCAAGACTAAAGGTAGTGGCAGAATCGTGCAAACTTGGAGCGGGGGCTGGAAGAGAGGACTGAACTCTCCTGATCCCTTTGTATGCCCCAGCGAGAAAGGGGCTATGCCGCAGAGACTCACGTGATGCCTATTTCCTTGAGATCACTCTCTGTGAGGGTCAGGAAGATCCGGAGGTCGATGTCCTGCTCCTCAAACACCTGGAGGTACTTCAGACACCCGATCTGCTCCAGGAATGTTGCCAGGTCCTGCGGCCCATCCAAAGCAAAGATGTTTGTACCCACATGAGGAACTGGACCCTCCTGTCTCCTTGAATGAAAGGCTAACAGCTACTTTGGAGGTATCCTAACTTTCTTTGCACTGTTCACTCTCTAAAGCCACAAGCTGTAATGGGGCCTGGCTTGTATTTAGTAGCAGCCAGACACTGTAAAGCTCTTCCTTCAGATTCCCTGCGCTACACTAGGCTGAGGAGAGGATTCCCCAAATAGGGTGACCAGATGTCCCGATTTTATAGGGACAGTCCCAATTTTTGGGTCTCTCTCTTATATAGGCTCCTATTACCCCCCCACTCTGTCCCGATTTTTCACATTTGCTGTCTGGTCACCCTATCCCCAAACCATCCCTGCAAGCAGGTTAGGTAGGAAAGAACTGTGTCAGGGAGGAAGATTATTCACCAGGTGAAAGTGTAACTGTTGTAGCCTTATCTGACTATTTTGTAAGAGTGCCTTTGGCTAAAATCCACCTTAAATGGAAGGGATTTGATGGCACCATGGTTGTGGGAGCAAAGAATACAATTCCTTCAGATCTTTTAATAGGGAATGATTTTAAAGCTTTGTGCAGACAGGTTAATATCATGAAACTGTCTATTAGGGGCAATGATTTGCCTATGGAGGGTTTCTTCAAATGTTTGTCTGAGGAAGATGGCTGTTTGTCTGTACAGAAAAGCAGGTTATATGTGAATGAAGTTTCTGAATATCTGTCTATCTCAGAAGGAATCTGGAATTAAATAAAGCAGAGAGAAAAATCATTCATCAGGAAAATGTTTCTCTAGAGCAGATTAAAGTTGATGATCAGGTTGAAGCCCTAATTGAGGAAGAAGGGGGTCCATTCTTGGTGAGTGAAGTTTGTAAAAGCGAGCCTAGACAAGGTAACAGTAATTTGCTTAAAGTAGCTCAGTATGAGCCACTGTCTGTAAAAAGCAGAAGTTTGTCTGTTGGGAGCGACATCTTTCTTGTTAAGGAAGCTGTCTCACTCTCCAAGCAATTGTCCATGAACAGCCATGCATGCTGGGACAAAGGAAAAAAATTCTCCAATTGTTTGTCTGTTTTGAGCAACAGTCACATGCCTGCTAAGGAACAGTGTGTATCTAGCTCTTCTCTGTCTGTAAAGGAGACAGAAGAAGCCTGTCAGCCTAGGATGGTTGAAAATGTATCAGTCTTCTCAGAGCTGATTCTGGATTTAACTGAAGCCTAGGATGGAAATGTTCCTAAGTTTGTGTCTGCTAGGGATAATGACATTGTAATCAGGTTGCATCCAGTTAATGTCATAACTGAGTCCCAGGAACCAGGTGATTCTGGTGCTTCTATTTTGCCTGTTGCTAGTGTGTTGCTGGGTAAAGATATGACAATCTTGTCTAATTAGGTTGATATCATAGCCAGGGCACAAGGAAAGCATAAACGTGATTTGACTATGTTACCCACTGTCAGTGTAGAAACTTGCCTGTTGTCAGCCAGGAAAGCTGCAAAGGGGAAGGGAATGCTTCTAACCTTTTAATTATGGAGTCTAGCAGCTTGCCTGAAAGGGGGTTGTGTAAAAACCCTCCTGATGGGCCAGAGGTGATTCTGGATGTCAGTGAAACTCAGAAGGAATTTGGTGATTTGTCTGTTGTGCCAAAGTCGGTTCTGGACATAAATAAAGCTCGGAAAGAATCTGTTGCAGTTCATAATATTGCAGGAGGGAAGGAATTTCTTAGTGATGTCTTTGAAGTCAATAGCTGTACCTAGTGGGGGTGAAAAGGAATTACTTCCATTGACTCTTAATGGGCCATTGTTGGTAGTAAAGAGTTTGTCTTCTGAGAAAAGTGTGTTGGTGACTAATAGCCTTGGGCCTTGGCTACACTTGGGAATTCACAGCGCTGCCGCAGGAGTGTAGTCGTGCCGCCAGCGCTGCGAGCTCTCTCGCAGTGCTGTATGTACTCCACCTCTCCGAGAGAAGTAGCTTGCAGCGCTGCGAGTGAGCGTGCAGCGCTGCAGGCGCTGATTACACTGCTCTACAGCCAAAATGCTTCTGAAATAAATGTAGTCAAACTTTACTAATTCTGGGTCACTGAGAACGAAAATGATGCTTAAAATTGTTGATTGGCTCTAGTTTTCAAGATATGCTATTGGGTCAGTATATACGACCCTTGACTTGGGAATGGCAGAGGATAAGTGAGTTATAAAGGGAAGGGATCTCAATTTAAACCAGAAATGACTAGAATACATCTGTGACTGGATCTATGACTAAATCTATGACTGGGTTTGGAGAGTACTTGCTTTTTAGGCAAAACAATGAATGATGCAATCTGAAGCTGGTATTGCATCATACATGATATGAATTGCATCATGTTATTCCTAGAAGTCATGGATGATGCAATCATAACGAAGCTTACATCACTCTGCTGAACAAATTGCCCTATATCAGCTCTAGAAATCATACAGTGTCGTGCTCTCTTCTTTGTCAGTGTTTGATTTTGCAAAGGGACACATTTCCAAAGTGAGCAGAGATGCCTCGTACTTGTGTGAACAGTGCAGATAACTTCTGCTATGTTTGTGGTGAAGTGACTTTTGCATCACAAAAGCGCAGTATAACCACTATGGTTAAGAAACCTATCACTTTTATTTTGGCTGCAAAATTGGAGATCGGGACAAGAGGTGGGCCCCACACATATGCTGCAACACTTGTGCAACAAATCTTCGCCAGTGGTTGAACAGGAAAAGGAAATCTATGCCTTTTGCAGTGCCAATGATTTGGAGAGAGCCAACAGATCATACCAGCAATTGTTACTTCTGCATGGTGCCTCCAGTTGGGAAAGGTGTGTCAAAGAAGAAAAAGTGGACTGTGCATTATCCAAACATTCCATCAGCTATACGCCCAGTACCCCACGGAGAAGGACTGCCGGTTCCTGATGCACCAAAATCATTCTCACTTGAATCAGACGAGGAAGAGGAAGAGGATGAAACTTCTGGTCCTGAACCATCCATGTCACAGGACCCACATTTTCTCCCATCCTCCTCCTCTGAAACACACCTCATAACACAAGGTGAACTGAATGACCTTGTCAGGGATTTGGAACTACCCAAGAGTAAGGCAGAGCTGTTGGGCTCCAGACTACAGCAGGTGATGTTAGGGTTTCCATGTTCCGTGACCGTCAAAAGGATCTTGTCCCATTCTTCTTCATGGAAGGTGATCTTGTAGCCTGCAACAACATCGATGGTGTGATGGCAGCCCTCAACATCGTTCACGATCCAGATGAGTGGAGACTGTTCATTGATTCATCGAAGACGAGTCTTAAAGCTGTTTTACTGCATAATGGCAATGTTTTGCCATCAATTCCAGTTGGTCATGCAGTCCATATGAAGGAAACCTATGACAACATGAAACAACTTTTGAGATGCATACAACATCAGTGGCAGCTTTGTGGCGATTTGAAGGTTGTTGCTCTCTTGCTTGGTCTGCAGACTGGATACACAAAGTACTGCTGTTTTCTCTGCGAATGGGATAGTCGTGCAAGAGATTCCCACTACATCAGGAAAGATTGGCCACTCCGACAGTCATTGGAGCCTGGGAGGAAAAGTGTTCAGCATCCACCACTTGTTGAATCAAGGAAGATTTTGTTACCATCCTTACACATCAAGCTGGGTCTGATGAAGAACTTTGTCAAGGCCATTGACAAAACACAAGCAGCTTTCAAGTACCTCTGTGGAAAATTTCCAAGGTTAAGTGAAGCTAAGATAAAGGAAGGTGTCTTTGTTGGTCCTCAGATTCATGAACTTCTTCGAGATGATGCATTGGACCATGCACTGCGTGGCAAGGAAAAGACGGCATGGAAAGCCTTCCAGTTAGTGGCAATAAATTTTCTCGGAAACAACAAGGCAGACAACTACAGGTTGTTGGTGGAAAACCTCCTCAAGGCATACAAAAGCCTTGGTTGCAACATGTCACTAAAGATCCATTTTTTGCACTCTCATCTAGATTTTTTTCCACCAAACTGCGGAGCAGTGAGCGATGAGCACGGCGAGCGATTTCACCAGGACATTGCAACAATGGAGAAACGCTATCAGGGCAAATGGAGCCCATCAATGCTTGCAGACTATTGCTGGACAGTGACAAGAGATGCTCCATTTAATGAATACAAGAGACAAGCCAAGAAGCGCCGAGTAGACACTGAATAGGACTAAACTATGTACATAATAGTTTTTTGCCTTTTGTTTCATAATAAATTTTATTTATATAACCCTTTTGCTGATTTTTAAAGTGTTACATAAACAGGACAGGTGAAATATTATCATGTAAAGCAACCATAAACACATGAAAAGACCTAGGTTTACAATTTATGATTAAAACTCTACTATCTACACAATATACATAGATATAAAATGTAAAAACTTAAATATCTTAGAAACAGTAGCCAGTTGTTTTAATTGTTATATTTGAATTCAGCACATCAAAATACATAATAAATAGCACATTTTATCTCTGAAGCAGACGACTTCTCAAAAATTGTAGACCAGTGTTACACTGGCGCTTTACAGCGCTGCACTCGCTGCGCTCGGGGGGGCGGGGAGGGGGAGGAGCACGTTTTCACACCCCTGAGCGCAGCAAGTTGCAGAGCTGTACAGCGCCAGTGTAGCCAAGGCCTAAGTCTTTCAAGTAAAAATGAATCCACTGAATTTGCTTTAGAAAGACCCATTGTGGACAGCTTTGAGAAGATTTCAGATGGTATAAAAACTGTTAGGGAGTTTGAACAGCTCTGACCAGCTTGTTAAGGAGACAATGTTGTTGGGACAGGAACGTCTCCACAGTGATTCTTTGAGTAAACAGTCTGTATCTCAGGTTCAGAGGGAAAACTGGATAGCTGATTCTGCAGAGCAGGAGAACAGTTGTGCAGTTGATCTCTTGAGAATACAGGGGATGGCAGCTAAACTCTCATCTCTAGATATTTTGGATACGTCTTGTAGTGTCTTAGTGGACTTGACATCTGATTCAATGCGGAAGCAAAGGTTGGTAGTGGAAGGACAAAAGAACCTTGAGTCTAACAGGCTAGTGAAAATGGATGGTATCTCTTTAAGACAGAGTCCAGCCTTGGAATTGGTAAAGGTTAAGAATCTGAAAACTGGTAAACAGGCTAGTGTCTGTGTTAATGCAAATTACCTGACTGACTGGAGGGAAAAAAAAGTTGCCTCACTCATCTCTAAGATACCAAAACCCTAAGGAAGTGGTTAAACTAAAAGCCTATGTTAAGGAAAACCCTAAAGTAAAGAAAAAGCTAAAAAGACTCAAAAGGGATATTGAACAAGCTGACCTAAAGAATAATTTATCTAAACAAAAGACTTGGCATGGCAAGGATAATTGTAAATGCACACTTGTGATAGAACTGATGTTATTGCTAATGATTGTAACTAACTTGTTGCTGATACCAAAAACTGTAAAAATGTACAATGTGCATGATCTTGAACATGTTAAGAGTGGTACATACTAGAAACCCTTACGATTATGCTGTTTGGTTCAATAAGAACACACTTTGTATTAAAAAGCCTAATAATGTTAAGGTTTCACAGCTAATGTCTGTACACAATCCTAAAACTTTCCACAGCAAAAAGACCATTACAAGCTTGAACTGCTGTGCACAAAGGCAAACTGAGGTACAACTCCTCACAGCTTTCATGGCTGAATGCCAGAGTAAGTGCTCTCTGAAGAACATTAATGGCTATGTTAAGTCAACACATAGACCAAACCCTGGAATCACTGAAGTGTTTCACAAAGTATGGACTAAGTTTTTAACTTGGCCCAAAGCATGCATCAATAAATTGGCCTTACAAAGAATTCAATGTAAACACCGCTCATATCAATGTTGGAAGGTCCTTAGGGTGTATCCAGGAGCTCTAGTTTCTCCCTTCCACACCACTCTCACGTTGGGGGTGTGACACATGACCAGAAAGAGTTAAGCATCCGGCAGGATAATTGACTCAAATTCAATCCTTAAAAACATACAGGGAGATGATGTTTGTGTTGTTTTTTTTTTTTTTTTTTTTAAAAGGTAGAAAATCAACAATGTAATCAGACAGTCCCTGTCTATGCTGTATTCTGTTAATTCAGAGATCAAGAGAACATCTTAACATTTAAATGAACTGTAAACCTAGGATATCGATGTATTCATCTCTCTTTGAAATGTATAGCAAGTCATCTGCGAATGGTGGAATAACAGGCAATTGCTTTATGTTAATCTGTATGAATAATTATCTGCAATGCTTAGAAAATGAGTTTATTGTTCGCCGAGTGACTGAGCTGTCACAAGAGGACCTGAAACTGTATAAAAAATGGCTTGGATCCTGATCCTGTCATCTCAGATCTGCTTGAGGCGTCATGCAGCGGAAGCCTAAGCCATAAGGACTGAGATCCCAGTGCTGACTGGACCACCCTGAATACAAATATTGGACTATAACCTATGGACTATTTCTGAAAGAACTCTCTGCATCTACAAAGCTCACCATCTACGCTATGAATCTGAATCTCAAAGCTGACTCGTGTCTGTATGTATACTGATCTTTTAACCAATTCTCTCTCCTTTTGTTAATAAATGTTAGTTTAATTAGTAAGAATTGGCTGTAAGCATGTATTTGGGAAAGGTCTGGAATATTCATTAACCTGGGAGGTAATGTGTCTGATCCTTTGGGATTGGTAGAACCTTTTATATATGATGAATAAGATTTTCAGAAATCCTCATCATACCTGATTTGGGTATCTAGGTGGGACCGCTTCTCAGGAGATCCCTGGGGCAGCCGCATTGGCTGCTGCTTGGGCGGTCCCCAGGGCCAGCTACCAGGGGCCTCTAGAGCTGCAGCCGGTGTGGCTGGCCTTAGGGCTGAGGCTGCTCCAGCAGCGGCTGGTGCAACTGGCTGCGGGGCCGCCCGAGCGGATGGCTGAAGAGCCACTCCAGCAGTGGCTAGTGTGGCTGTCCCCAGGGCTAGCTGCTTGAGTGGCCCTGGGGTCAGCCACACTGGCCACTGAAGAAGTCATGGAGGTCGCATCTGCTTTGGTAATTACACTGGGCTGGGAGGACAGCTTAAGGAGCTAAGGTTAGAAGAACTGGGGTGCAGTGATCAGGAATGCTCCATCAGAGCAAAAGCGATGCCTGAACAGGAGTTTCACTGCAAAAGCAGCCTCTCCATTTTAAGAGTATTAGAATGAGCTGCAGGGGTTCAGTGTCAAAGTCCACTCGGGGATGGCGGTTGGGGTGGGAGAGGCAGCATTGCTTCCTTATCTGAGAAAGCCAAATGACCAGGCTGGAGTCCTGGGGCAACGTTCTCTTCGAGGGATCTCCAATAGCTTTGCACTGACACACGTTCTCACCCCATCACGGACGTGAGTTTTCTGTTCTCCTTTGCAGCTCTTACCTGGGGTCCTGTGTAGGTGGTGGCCTCTGGGTTAGGGAGCGTACAGTGCTGACTAGACACCCCAGCTTTGCCTGGGCTCTGAGACCACTGGCTGTCACTGTTGCTGTACCGGGTCTTGATCTTCACGTAGCTTTTAGCCTGTTTCCGACTAGAGAGCTTTTCCGCATGGTCAGAGTCCTGGAGAGACAGAAGGGGCCTGTTTAATGGCACAGGGTCAACTTTGCCGAGTCACCAGAATCACCACAGGGAACCGCATGGGTGTGGAACATGGGGAAGCTCTCAGCTACTTCAGTCCCAGGCTCTGAGTCTGGGCAAGCTCATTGTAGGCACTGGGGTGGGAACAGAATACTCTGTCTTAGCCACATTCCCCAATAGGAGACTGTTTCCTAAATGGAGCAGAGGCCCGGAAGTGTGGGTGGTAAAGACTAAGCAATCACTTGTTAAAGAGGACTTCCAGGGTGAAGTCCTGAGCAAAGAGCAACTTGCAGGGACTCCAGTCTCAGAGAGACAAGCAAAGGAGAGGATTCCCCAATCCACCACGCCGAGGGTTTTAGGTAGGACGGAAATGTGTCAGGCAGAATTAAAATTCTTATCTGGACTGTAAGCTCCTTGGGGCAGAGCCTGTCTTTGTTCTGTGTTTGTATAGCACCTAGCACAATGGGGTCCAGGGTCATAAGCAGGCTCCTAGGTGCTACCACCACACAAACAGTAATAAAACCTGCTCTAATAATTACACTGGGCTGGGAGGAAAGTTTAAGGAGCCAAGGTTAGAAGCACTGGGGTCTGGAGTGATCAGGAATGTTCCATCAGAGCAATAGCGATGCCTGAGCAGGAGTTTCACTGTAAAAGCAGCCTCTCCATTTTAAGAGTATTAGAACGAGCTGCAGAGGTTTGGCATCAAAGCCTACTGGGGGAGAATGGGGGAGGGGGAGGAGGAAGGAGCAGCATTGCTTCCTTATCTGAGAAAGCCAAATGACCAGGCTGGAGTCCAGGGCAGTGTTCTCTTCGATGGATCTCCAGAATGCTGCACTACGATAGAGAGGCCTTGCTTTGGAGCTAATCCTTGGAGTGCCAGCACCACAAAGCAGCCATCATGTACTGCATTCTTTCAAGCCCAGAGAAACATTGACCCTGCTGACTAGCAGAAGGATAGCGTGTAGTTATTCCTGTGAGCAACAGCTCAGGGAACCGGGGAGCCTTCCTAGTGCCCAACAATGTCATACCCATCCAGCACACCTACACCAAATCCAGAACCTGGTCTAAGAATGCAAGTGGTTACTCGAACCACTGAGTAACTTACACAGATTCCAAGTCCAGACTTCCTCTCCATATTCCAACCTGTAGAAGCCAGGATCACCTTAGAAGCAGTGGTGCCATCCTACTTCAACAAATCCAAGTGACCTGATCCAGTCATCTGGCCAAATTCCTTCAACGGTTATCAAATGCTAGGGTATGGGAGACTTCCCTTCTAGATTGTGGGTTAGGGACAGGGCCGCACGCGAGCAGAGCAAGGGCTCAGGGATTGGGGAAAGAATGGACTTTAAAACCATGGTGAACGTTAGGGCTCACCATGGAAGGGCACAGACATCACCAGCTAGAGCCCAGCATAGTGCAGGGAGGGGAGTCTGCTTCAGAAAACAAGCCAGCCTGCTGGCACCTGTCAGGATGCTGTCGACCACAAAGTGGCTATTTATACTGCCCTGGGGCTAAATGATCATGGAAAGGGTTTCATCTCAGGACAAGAATTTGCTGTTTGTATTCACTGTCCCGCTGTTTGTAAGAGGCTCCAAGAAAGCTCCTGAATCAAACGGTCACATGGTCTGAGCCTTCTCTGGTGGGGAGGGCAGTGAATGCCTGGGACAAGGGAAAGTGCGGTGATTGGAGAGTTACTGATCTACCCATCGGGAAACCACTCTGCAGGGAGGGTGCTCAGATACTCGGATCAGTGTCAAATGGGACAACTTCCCGTCCCCTAACACAGTGGCTGTCAACCTTTCCAGACTACTGTACCCCTTTCAGGAGTCTGATTTGTCTTGCATACCCCAAGTTTCACCTCACTTAAAAACTACTTGCTTACAAAATCAGATAAAAATACCCAAGTGTCACAGCACGCTATTACTGAAAAACATCTTACTTTCTCATTTTTACCATATAATTATAAAATAAATTGATTGGAATATAATTATACTTATATTTCAGTGTATAGTATATAGAGCAGTACAAACAAGTCATTGTTTGTATGAAATTTTAGTTTGTACTGACTTTGCTACTGCTTTTTATGTAGGCTGTTGTAAAACTAGGCAAATATCTAGATGAGTTGATGTACCCCCTGGAAGACCTCTGCATACCCCAGGGGTACACCTACCCCTGGTTGAGAACCACTGCCTTAAGACATTTAAACAGAGTTTACAGCTTTCCTTCTACCCTGGAGGTTCTCCCCTCCTGTCCCTGGATCCTACAGTCTCACGGCAGATGTAAAGTCATGGCCAGTGGCTGGCATATTCGTGAGTTCCCATGTTCCACCAACAGCAGTGACCAAGAAGAAACAAAAGCCCCACCTCATTGCTCTCCAGGGAGCCCTCACTGCTGATCCCCAGGGCTTTGGGCAGACACTCGCTGCTGCTGCTGCTGCTCCTGATGGTGTCCAAGTTGTTGGTGAAGAAAGCATTCTCTTCTGGAGGGGAGCAGAAAGGAAAACAATGAGTTCCTGCTTCTTCTCCTTGATCTTCTCATCTCATGTAGACATCCAGCCTGAGTCTGCGTGCAGCAGCTGCTCAGATTAGGGAGGTTACTCTGAGGAGTGAGTGGAGAGTATCATGTCTGGAACAGGGGCACCCGTCCTTCCCCATACCACTGCCAGTGGGTGTCAGGTAGTTTCAGTGCAATGCATTGGTGGACAGATTTATAGCCATTTAGTATCACTGTCTGCAGTAATGGGGAACAGGTGTATGTTTTAGGGCATGGGGTTACCAGCTAATCTGTGTTCTTGTCCCTAAGCACCCAGGAGAGGTCTCCCAATGTCCTTGACATAAGGCCAGTGCAGATTGATGGCACTCATTTTCCTTCTACCCCTCTGTCCCCCTTCCATCATGGCACTTCACTCTCCTCTGGGATGGCAGGACGGAATCTATGCCACTCCAACACAGGACACCTGTGCACTGATGGGGTGCCCCCTTTCTTGCTTGAATCTCGGGCAAAATGCCTTCCTAGGAGCTCTTCAGACCTAAGGGGTGGGGAGATGAGAAAGGAAAAGTGCAAGCCCTGAAGCAGTTCTCAACCCCAGGTCACTCACACTGGAAGCTAGACCCTCCTCTGAGACCATGCCCTACCCCTGCTGCTGCTACTTTCCACGTCTTGCTCGTTGATTGGAGAGGTGACATCCCGGAACCGGAGATCCTCCCCTTCAAAGCTGCCATTGTCACTGAACGTAACGTAGCCCTGCGGAGGGACCTGCTCTGTGTGCAAAGAGATGAGAATGGAAGTTACCAGACAGGCTGCAGTATGGGGAGCAGCAGCTGCCAGCAAGCGTCCAGGGATCTGAAGACAATCAGGGGAAGAAATCACATTGTAAAATAACCAGCTTCCATTCCCCCTTTGAACGACAAATAAAATTACCAGGAATGTGGAAGCCTAATAGCTTCTTTTGCATGCAAGATCAACGCTGGTCACAGACCATGCTCTAGCCAGATGCCTGTATCTAAGAGGATTGCACATAACCAGCCTTGCAGCAGACACACCTCCAAGCTTACTGAGCTTGGAGTATTTCCTCCCTTCCCCGAGTTTCTGGGTCAGCACACAGGCAGCACCCTGTGCAGCTGGTGGTTTGAGCATTTCAATACAGTCACCTCCCAGTAGTAGCATCAGGCTACACCAATAGGAAGTACCAGGCAGTAGCAGGTTTCCTAACTAGCCCGAACAACATTAAAATAAGGTCAGTTCAAGCTTAAGGGAATCTGAGGGTTGGTATTTTTTCTTCAATACAAATCAATATTCTTGGCCATCCAAGATAACCAGGTAGCTGGCTAGACTCACTGGTCATCACCACTCTGCGCCATGCATCCAACACAGGGCAAAGCTCATGCCCGCCCTATATTTAGGCAAGCCCATCACATTCATCAAGGGGTTAATGTTTAAACCCAGCTGATGTTTCTCCCTGCCCATCACATGGCCGACCTCACCAATTTCCACTGCAACTGGAAGTGTTTCCCAGTGCTCAGGCAGACACAGGTCACCTGGCCCTGAAGCTGGGAGATTAGTTTAATCATTCCTGCTGTTTGGCCTGTCTTGAATCCCCCGACACTCCTGCTGGTTTGTGAATGGCTCTGTGACTCCTGAGTCTATCTTGGGAAGGGAAGAGGGGTCAATCTCAAGAGCCAGACAGCAAACAGAGATTGAGATGATGCTGAAGGACATTCTCAGCTGGTAAGTAAAAAATTCATGCCTATCATGGATCAGCTGGGAGATGGTTTTTAGAGCTGGCTTTCAGCCCCTGGGATGATGGGTGTTTGCTCAGTGCTGGCAGCTGCAGGAGCCATGCAGGAAGGCCCAATCTAAAGAAGCAGGGAAGTGCTGGCGCCGGAGTAACAGCAAAGCAGTACTGTGGCACCCCTGAGATCACGAAGGTTAGATTCCCCGACCCACACTCACCACAGCGAGACTGCTTCTTCCCTGCAATTCCGACAGCTGTTATCTTAGCCAAAGCCTGGGGCCCCTCATGGATACTGGGGCCCTTGGTCTTACGGACTGGTCTCTGTCTCTGGGGAGTGGAGCACGATTCATCTGAGGAGCTCAGATCTTCACAGTATTTTCCTGTTGTCCAAGCACAGATCGTTAGCTGCACAGTACCTCCAGCTACACCTCTACCCCGATATAACGCTGTCCTCGGGAGCCAAAAAAAAAAAAAAAAACTTACTGCGTTATAGGTGAAACCGCGTTATATCGAACTTGTTTTGATCCACCGGAATCCCCACCCCCCCCCCCCCGAGCACTGCTTTACCGCGTTATATCCGAATTCATGTTATATCGGGGTAGAGGTGTACTTACATCCTTGATTTGCTACTGGCCCTTTAAAAGCAGTGGGAAAAACAGTGAAACAAATCAAAGGGTGAGCAAACAATGGTTGACTGGAGCAGAAGCTTTGCCAGGCACACCTCGCACCAGCAAGGGCTACCATCCAGGACTCCACTGCTGTTTAAAGGAGAGGGATTTCCAGCAGACACCTGAAGTATCACTCCCACTCAATCACTGCACTATAAAACAGCAACAGCCTCTTCTCCAAGCACCTTCCCTTAATGTGCACATACAGGGAGGTGTCTCAGTTACCTGGGCCCCTGCAGAAGACTTTGGGCATGGGGGCTGCATGTAGATCCATCAGCCCCACGATCTTCATGTGTCCATACTTCATGGCCAGAGTCCGTGCCGTGGCTCCCGTGTTCTCTCTCACATCCACCTTCACGCCCTGTGGGAAGGCAATGCATACTTCTGGCGTGCGTGTTCTGAATGGACACCACACACACAATTCAAGAGAACCAAAGAACTTTCATATTCCATCAAGATCCCCCTCTTCTTGTCTGCCTTTTTAATGGAAGTGTAAGGCTCCTTGAGATCCGTGGATAAATTCCCTTAGTCTCTTCTCAATGCTACTGGGCCTATTGATTTGCTGTCTGCTCTCTCATCACAATAGCCCAATGTCTCCCTTTTCTGCATCACCACCAGAATCTTGCTTGATCTGCTGCCGATTATTTCTTCATTGCTTCATCTTTATGAACAAAGTCACTATGCAAATTACATTTAAATTTTATAAAGGGGCTCACTGTGGTTAGAAGCCAAGAGGACTGAATATTCAGACATTAGCATGGAGGTGGAAGATGCCTGCTAGACAGAATACACATGCCTACAAGCACTAGATAGGATCTCCTGGGGTGGATCAGATATTAACTGACATCACGCTTTGTCTGAGTCAAAAAGGCTAATAACAAGGGCTGTTTCAATAGTCTGACTTGCCCTGAGTGTCTAGATCATTTCAGGGACAAGTCTACACTACGGCGCTACATCAGCACAGCTGCGCCACTGTAGCATGTCTGATGAAGACGTGCTATGCTGACAGGAGAGCGCTCTCCTATCAGCATAATTACTCCACCTCTGCGAGAGGCAGAAGCTATGCCAGCAGGAGAGCGTCTCCCACTGACAGTGCCAGTGTGGACAGAGCTTAGGTCGCTGTAACTTGCATTGCTCGGGGAGTGTCTTTTTCACACCTCTGAGTGACGGAAGTTACATCAACTGAAGCAGTAGCGTAGACCAGCCCTCAAACTATTGGGGCATTAATATCATTACCAACACTTGTATCAATATTCCAGAAGCCTGTTAGGATGGTAGCCCCACAGGCTTAGTCCTGCCTGGCTCAGAGTTTCAAATCCAAAAAAATAGGGGACAATCCTGCTCAGGTTAGAGAGTCATTGAACAAATTGCTCCTCCTCTCTTAGGATGGACAGAAAGAGGAGAGTAGGCACAATCCGTTCCACGATTGTTTCATCTGAGCGAGGATTCAGACAGACGTTTGCATGGGAACATGGCAGCACAGGCTGTGTTCTTTAGTCTGTGAGCTGGAGAGCAGCACAGCACAGCATGTCCAGCAATGAAAACAAACAGTGCCCTTGGCGCATGGTGCAACAGAGCATGGCTTCACTTCTAAGGCAAGCGACACTGTAGAGGGAAGGGGGAATTTACTCACCATGGTGTCTAACAAGAGGAGCTAATTTTATTTAACAGTTATTTTACACACACTCTGGTTCTGCGACTGCTCCTACTAGAACCATTCTCACGGTGTATTTTGAGAGCTCTTCTTCACTGCTGATTTTTGGTCTCAAGGCAGTGAGATTGGGGATCTCTCATCTCCTCTGTTAATAAGCATTGAAGCCTAATTAGCTATATTGTTGAGAAAGCCCCAACTTCTGCCCCACTCCCATCCTTGGAATGACAGCTTTCTAGTTCCTGAGAAAAACAGCTGAGATAGGAGATCATCATTACATGCTCTCAAACTGTCTTGGGCTAATTCTATGGAGGGGGCATGAGGAAGGGCAGAGATTTTGAACTTGACCTGATAGTTTGTGGGGAACCAGCGTATGAGCAGACCGCTAGGATGCTGCTGCATTTTGGAAAAACTGAAGCTTCTATCAAATTTGAAGTGCTTATTCCTAGGCATAGCAAGGTGCAGCAACCTAGCCTGGAACTTATGTAGTGTAAGTCATCACGGCCCGGTCACAATCCCCTGGGCTGGGGCTCCAACTCCTAGCCAATCTCAGGTAAAAAAGCTTTTTTGCTAAAAGCTACAGCTAGCTAACACTCCCGCAGCAGCAGGGTGTCCAGAAGGAACCAACGTTGCTGATCACAAGATCCCTGGCTACATTTGGTGGATGTGTCCAATGCAACACCTATTGCAAGGAGAAAAAAACAGAGACCACCTCTGGAAAGCAGAGATGGGCTAGTGTTTTAATAGATTAGACCATGAGGGAAAGGGTGAGGCACATAGTGAGTCAGAAATAGGCTGTGGGAATTTGGAAGTTATTTTGTGTTTCTTTAGCAACAAAATATGTATTAGAAAGAAGAGAAAAAGGAGCATTTCATCCCCTTTGGAAAAATCCAATTACACTTAAGGAAAGACCAGAGATTCTATGCTGTAAACATACAGGGGCTGTTAGGGGAAGATACATACTGTGGAGAGAGGTTAGTTTGGATTTGGGATCTCTCTGCTTTATTAAATATCAGATGTATAGGCATTCAACCCCCCAAAACAACTCAATGAGGCTGTGACCTACCACCAGAGGGGACTTGTAATGGAGAGCAACAGCCTGGAAATATAACCCGTTGGAAGGCCTGATCTCTCAAATCCTGTGTTCTCCTGACGTTAAGTCTGGACCCTAAAGATTCTAGGGTTTATTTAGAATTGGGCAGACACTTACATGATTGAGAAGATACTGGACAATTATCTCATGGCCAGAGGCAGCTGCTTCCATCAGAGGTGTATATCCATACACAGGCTCCCTGGGTAAGAGAGAAAAAGCTCATGTAGGTTGGACTCAGGACAGGTGAAAATAAAGATATAATATGGTTTGCTGGTCACACACAGAAAAAGAACCAAAGAGCAAATCTCGCCCACTGAAGGCTGAAGCAGAACCCACACCCCAGCTTGCCAAGCCTTCGCAAAAGATCTCAATTTCCAGGGCTTGTCAAACTGGCCCCTTTAACCAGCACAAAAAGTTAAATTGAATTCGTTACCAAATGAATTCATGAAGCCATGTATTACTCAAGAAGGCACATCCAGTAAAATGTCATTTTAATCCAGGGGTTCTCAAACTGGGGGTCGGGACCCCTCAGGGGGTTGCGAGGTTATTACATAGGAGGTCACGAGCTGTCAGCCTCCACCCCAAACCCCGCTTTGCCTCCAGCATTTATAATGGTGTTAAATATATAAAAAAGTGTTTATTGTTTATAAGGGGGGGTCTCACTCAGAGGATTGCTATGTGAAAGGGGTACAGTACAAAAGTTTGAGAACCACTATTTTAATCCCTCTATCCCAGGCAGGATGGGGCCAACATTATAGCATGTCCCACCAGGGCACCTCCAGCTGAAACCCACCACTCTTTCACCAATGTAGTTAGCAGGAAAGGCAATTCCAGGAGGGGGTCAAATCCTGTCAGGCACATCCCCGTTTCTGTCTTGCACACCACATTCTCTGCTTTGGCTGTATTTAATATGCATTTTCTACATACATGAATTCTGAACTGTGTTTGTTTGCTGGGGATAAACTTCAAGCTACGCTTGATCCTTGGTATGCAAAAGAAGTTTTTCAGAACTCTGAGGAAGATGAGCTGATGTTCAACTGAACACTAATGTCCTACCCTATATGCTGTCCAAAGCCAATAGACAGCTAGTACTATGTTATATAAGGGCCTGGAAGGATCTTTTTCCTGTGACACGGCTCTTTGTGTATCACGCAATTTAGTCACTGATGATGTTGCAAATAGGCCAGAAATTCAACGTACATATTTATTGCAATAAATATTTTATGCATTTACATAACAAGCATTTCTTCCCATGGAAAAATTAAGGAAACAGGGTTATGATCAGAAAGATTTTACTGTTCTGGGTCCTGCAAAGCCACTGTAACTAGGGAAGGAGAGTCAGCTATTCTGCTTCAAGTAGTAAGATTGTCAATGGAGTTTCAGGGCTAGATCCTTGGCAGGTATAAACTGGTTTAGCTCCACTGACTTCAGGGCTACACTGACTTCCACCAATAAGTATCTGGGGTTTTCAGTTTTGGAAATCAATATCATTAGACATTAACAAAATAGAAACAGCATGACCAACACATACCATAGCAGGTCGTTTGATGTGCATGCTACCAATGGCAGGTTCTTAGAAGCATAGGCATGGGAAGCCAGCCAATGTGTTAAGCGACCATGCATGAGCACCGACTGAGTTATACTGGGTCAGCAGCAGAGTGCAACTGAGATCAGGAGCAAGCTGTAATGCCCTTTCACTTTCACAGAGATCAGCCAAAACAGAACCTCATTTCACGTGATGTTGGTTTAAATGTGGCACCGTGGGCAGACTCCAATCCTCAGTTTACATGGCACTATGATCACTACATTAACTCCAAGGCCCACAGGGACAGTGGATTACATCTTATATCCTTAAACAGCAAGGGAAAAGGAGGGGACAGAATGTATTTTCTTCCTTTATGCTCTGAGCACTTCTTATGCTAATGTGCTCCTTTTGCATTGGAAATCATGTGGAAATCCTTGAGACAGAAAAGAAATACCAGATCTTTTTCTCTTACTTGCAGTTGGCGTTCGCCCCATTGTCCAGTAAGAATTTGACCATCTGCTGGTGTCCAGCACTGGTGCAGTGGAAGAGGGCAGTCCAGCCATGAATGTCCTTCATCTCCAGCTCTGCGCCTTGCTTCAAGAGAACAGAGAACGTTCTTTACTGTAGCATCCCTCCTGCGTCTGTTAGCCATTGCCCTCTGAGCTGTGATTCTGAGAAAGTTTGAATCCCTGTCAGGAAGCTGAATTTACAGCAGCACACTGAGCTTACGGTTCTCTGTCAGAACTGCTGGAGGATTCCACTCCTCAGGCATCTCAATTTTGCAATAGCAGCTTTTCCTAGCCATTCCTGAACACCCACCTGGAGGAGGAAGTAGGCAACGCTCTCATTGCCACAACTGGAGGCCAGCATGAGTGGGGTCTGCCCTTCCGGCGTCGGGACGTTCACATTCACTCCCGCCTCCAGCAGCAGATGCACGATGGTATCATGCCCGATGTAGGAGGCGTACATCAGCGGGGTCCAGCCACCACAGTTTCTCTTATTTAAATCCAGTTCCCCACTTAAAAAAAAAAAAAAAAAGTAAGTAAAAAGAAATCAGCTGAACCAATACTAAAGCTGGTCACAGCTGCAGCACAGACTCTTGTAGTCAAAATCATCTTTTTTACCTTTGTAGTTAAAATAAAAACAGTGTTAAAAACAAGTCAGGCACTGGAGCCTTGCTACACTGTGGCTCCCCATTAGCTCTAACTCCAGTTCAGCTGAATCAGTGGGAATTTGGGGGGTGAATTTCCCCATCCCAAACATGGCCCACAAATCACTTTACACTGAGCAAATGATCTGATACCACTGAAGTTCACTGGCAAAGGGTCATTGTCCTAGTGCAGCCTGACCCTGTACTGCTGTCATTTCAAAATATAATCAGCATAAGTAACAACAAAGCTGTGTTAGTCACACTCTGCTCATTCCTTACCACTGAATACACTCCTGCACCACCTCATACTGGCCAATGGAGGACGCTGTGTGTAGGTCCAGTGGAACATCCAGCTCTTCTCGACAGATCATCTGGCCTACCCCATGCCACATGGACAGGCTGCGGTTCAGGAGCTCCGATTCGCTGGCTTCATCACTCAGCTCTGACATCATGATCTGTAGAACCAAAGCATAACAGAACTTTCAGTTCCGACTTCAGGATCTTATAGTACTGTGGTGTGACCACTTGGCTCTGGTGCTGAGACATCCTCAGCTTTGAAGGTGTGATCTTCTTAGAGATATGTTATGCTGAATTCCTACCCATAAACTGAACCCCTCCTCTCCCCTTCCTTGGTCAACAAAGCTCTCCTGTGAAACGACAAGTGGTTGCTTCAGATCCTCCATGACAGCCCTTTACTGTTGTTTCTAGACCATTTGGTCCTGTCTACTCTACAAACAACAAAGCAAACAATGCTAGAAATCATCTTTTAAACTGATTTTAAGGTTGTCAGCAGCCATGGTTTTGTTCCTTCCTGCAACGATCAGTTCTGGGTCCAGTTCTGTTCAATATCTTCATCAATGATTTACACTTATAAAGTTTGCAGATGACACCAAGTTGGGAGGGGTTGCAAATGCTTTGGAGGATAGGATTAAAATTCAAAATGATCTGGACAAACTGGAGAAATGGTCTGAAGAAAATAGGATGAAATTCAATAAGGACAAATACAAAGTACTCCACTTAGGAAGGAACAATCAGTTGCACTCATACAAAATGGGAAATGACTGCCTAGGAAGGAGTACTGCAGAAAGAGATCCAGGGGTCATAGTGGATCACAAGCTAAATATGAGTCAACAGTGTAACACTGTTGGAAAAACAAACAAACAAACATACATACATAATTCTGGGATGTATTAGCAGGAGTGTTGTAAGCAAGACACAAGAAGTAATTCTTGCACTCTGCTCCGCCTCAACTGAAGTATTGTGTCCAGTTCTGGGCACCATATTTCAAGAAAGATGTGGACAAATTGGAGAAAATCCAGAGAATTGCAACAAAAATCATTAACAGTCTAGAAAACATGAGGAAAGATTGAAAAAATTTAGGTTTATTTAGTGTGGCGAAGAGAAGACTGAGAGGGGACATGATAACAGTTTTCAAGTACATAAAAGGTTGTTACAAGGAGGAGGGGGGAAAAAAACAAACAAACACTTTTCTCCTTACCTCTGAGGATATGACAAGAAGCAATGGGCTTAAATTGCAGCAAGGGCGGTTTAGGGTGGAACGGTTTAGGGTGGACAAAATTTCTCGATACTTTAAATGACTGCTTCTTGGAGCAGCTGGTACAGGAACCCACAAGGGGACAGGCAATTCTCTATTTAGTCCTGAGTGGAGCGCAGGCTCTGGTCCAAGAGGTAACTATAACAGGACCACTTGGAAATAGTAACCATAATATAACAACATTTAACATTCCTGTGGTGGGAAGAACACCTCAACAGCCCAACACTATGGCATTTAATTTCAGAAAGGGGAACTATGCAAAAATGAGGAGGTTAGTTAAACAGAAATTAAAAGGTACAGTGACTAGAGTGAAATCCCTGCAAGCTGCATGGACACTTTTCAAAGACACCATAATAGAGGCACAACTTAAATGTATATCCCAAATTAAAAAACACAGTAAAAGAACTAAAAGAGAGCCACCATGGCTTAACAACCATGTAAAAGAAGCAGTGAGAGATAAAAAGTGGAAGTCAAATCCTAGTGAGGTAAATAGAAAGGAGCATAAACACTGCCAAATTAAGTGTAAAAATGTAATAAGAAAAGCCAAAAAGGAGTTTAAAGAACAGCTAGCCAAAAACTCAAAAGATAATAAAATATTTTTTAAGTACATCAGAAGCAGGAAGCCTGCTAAACAACCAGTGGGGCCCCTGGACAATGGAGATACAAAAGGAGCACTTAAAGACAATAAAGTCATTGCAGAGAAACTAAACGAATTCTTTGCTTCAGTCTTCAAAGCTGAGGATGTTAGGGAGATTCCCAAACCTGAGCCATCCTTTGTAGGTGACAAATCTGAGGAATTGTCACAGATTGAAGTGTCACTAGAGGAGGTTTTGGAATTAATTGATAAACTTAACAGTAACAAGTCACCGGGACCAGATGGCATTCACCCAAGAGTTCTGAATGAATTCAAATGTGAAATTGCGGAACTATTAACTATGGTTTGTCACCTGTCCTTTAAATCAGCTTCCGTACCCAATGACTGGAAGATAGCTAATGTAACGCCAATATTTAAAAATGGCTCTAGAGGTGATCCTGGCAATTACAGACCGGTAAGTCTAATGTCAGTACCGGGCAAATTAGTTGAAACAATAGTAAAGAATAAAATTGTCAGACACATAGAAGAACAAATTGTTGGTCAAAAGTCAGCATGGTTTCTGTAAAGGGAAATCATGTCTTACTAATCTATTAGAGTTCTTTGAAGGGGTCAACAAACATGCAGACAAGGGGGATCCAGTGGACATAGTGTACTTAGATTTCCAGAAAGTCTTTGACAAGGTCCCTCACCAAAGGCTCTTATGTAAATTAAGTTGTCATGGGATAAGAGGGAAGATCCTTTCATGGATTGAGAACAGGTTAAAAGACAGGGAACAAAGGGTAGGAATAAATGGTAAATTTTCAGAATGGAGAGAGGTAAACTAATGGTGTTCCACAAGGGTCAGTCCTAGGACCAATCCTATTCAACTTATTCATAAATGACCTGGAGAAAGGGGTAAACAGTGAGGTGGCAAAGTTTGCAGATGATACTAAACTGCTCAAGATAGTTAAGACCAAAGCAGACTGAAGAATTTCAGAAATATCTCACAAAACTAAGTGATCGGGCAACAAAATGGCAAATGAAATTTAATGTGGATAAATGTAAAGTAATGCACATTGGAAAAATATCTCCAACTATATATACAATATGATGGGGGCTAATTTAGCTACAACTAATCAGGAAAGAGATCTTGGAGTTATCGTGGATAGCTCTCTGAAGATGTCCACACAGTGTGCAGCGGTAGTCAAAAAAGCAAGTAGGATGTTAGGAATCATTAAAAAAGGGATAGAGAGTAAGATGGAGACTATTGCCCTTATATAAATCCATGGTACACCCACATCTTGAATACTGCATACAGATGTGGTCTCCTCATCTCAAAAAAGATATACTGGCATTAGAAAAGGTTCAGAGAAGGGCAACTAAAATGATATGGGGTTTGGAACGGGTCCCATACAAGGAGAGATTAAAGAGGCTAGGACTTTTCAGCTTGGAAAAGAGGGGACTAAAGGGGGATATGATAGAGGTATATAAAATCATGAGTGGTGTGGAGAAAGTGAATAAGAAAAAGTTATTTACTTATTCCCACAATATAAGAACTAGGGGCCACCAAATGAAATTAATGGGCAGGAGGTTTAAAACAAATAAAAGGAAGTTTTTCTTCACACAGCGCTCAGTCAACCTGTGGAACTCCTTGCCTGAGGAGGTTGTGAAGGCTAGGGCTATAACAGGGTTTAAAAGAGAACTAGATAAATTCATGGAGGTCAAGTCCATTAATAGCTATTCGCCAGGATGGGTAAGGAATGGTGTCCCTAGCCTCTGTTTGTCGGAGGGTGGAGATGGATGGCAGGAGATCATTACCTGATACCTCTGGGACCCCTGGCATTGGTCACTGTCGGTAGACAGGATACAGGGCTGGATGGACCTTTGGTCTGACCCAGTATGGCCATTCTTATGGTCTTATGACATTAGGAAAATTTCCTGTCAGGGTGGTTAAGCACTGGAATAAATTGCCTAGGGAGGTTGTGGAATCTCCATCATTTGAGATTTTTAAGATCAGGTTAGATAAACACCTGTCATGGATGGTCCAGATAATACTTCATCCTGCCGTGAGTGCAGGGGACTGGACTAGATGACCTCTTGAGGTCCTTCCAGTCCTACGATTCTATGATTCTCTCTCCAGTCAAAATATGGTTAAAATGGAATTTGAACACCCTTGTCAAGATTAGGCATTAAATTCTGTTTAAGTGCTGACAGCACGCTCTGCACTGTACAAGAGAGAAGTGATTCCTCATGTGAACCGTTTATAGTCAAAAGAGACAAAATACGCACAGGGGAAACTGTAGGAAAACCCTACAGAGAGAGAAAAACCCTGCTTAAACTGAATGGTGGATGTTAGTAATGACAACTGTGTCAAATGCTGAGTTGCCTTTCAAAATAAAGTAGTAACATCACCTGAATGCAGCTGACTCCTTTAATGCGTCTTCAGGGCCTACAGAAGCAACCTTGCTAAATTAGTGCTTATTTCCTCAGCACTTCAGGAGCAGCCTAATCCTGCCTCTGTGCATCTTGGAAATTGCTCAAACACATTTTAAATAAATAATGGACCTGCCAGTTGATTTGCAGTTTGCCCACTGGACTGGATGCAGTAACTTAATTACAAAAGGTAGCATAATTTCATGACTGCCTAAAAGGTTAAGGTCCATTTTCCTTCCCTAGACTGTGGGAGATGGGAATGTGTTAATCACCTATAGATGGGATCACACATTTGCTCAGCTCTTTAATAAAGCCATCTGACACAGCTGCCTCTAGTGTTTTCTGTCTTATTTGTATTTTCTTAATCATTTCGAGTTTTGGGACAATAATTATTTCTCTTTCTTGTGACCTATTAAAGACTCATTTATCTCAAAACCCAGCCCTTCTCTTCCACACACCTATACACTTTTATAATACAAAAAAAAAAAAAAATGGAATTCAATCTATTCTACATAATCAGGATGTACTGGTACATGACGGTTGCTTTATTAGGATAACTCCCAAGATACTTATTTTGCATGATGGTATGATTATTTCTATTACAGTAGTGCCAAAAGGTCCCAACAAGAAGGGGCCCTCACTGTGCTATGCAATGTACAAACGCCTTAAAAAGTCTGTCTTCACTGGGAGAAAAGAGGTGTGGCGTCCTTAACTCAAGGTAAAATCCTGGTGAAGACAAGGCAGGCTGTCATTTTCACGCAAATGAGTAATCCAGGTTAAAAACTAGGTTCTCCCTTAGTGTCTTTACCTCCACTTGCTAACTGGTGTGAAAACAACAAACTGCCTTGTCTTCGCTAGCATTTTCCCTTGAGGTACGAACACACCTTTTT